AAAGTATCCTTTAGCTTTCTATAGGACAATGTTGTTGACAGCATACCCAAATGCTCCTTTAACAGTTTTGCAAAGGAATGGAATTGAAGGTGTGGATGTCCAAGTTGCTAATCTAAAATCACACAACTACAACCATTACAATTGCAGATATCACATAATCAAATTGCAAAACAACGACTTCTATCCGTTTTCAACTCAAGAATTAAGGACCAAGATCCTTACCTTGGGTGTTTTCTTGGAAGAAAGAAGAATGTTAGAGGGCTTGATATCTCTATGAACAACACATCTTTCAGTTCCGTTGCTACTATAAATCCTTAATATACCGCAATTTAGCAAAATAAGCTAATTGGTCCAAAGGCTTTATGCTAGAGAATCAATTTTAAAATATCAAACATACAAAATGTAAAACAACATTGTACACACAAGAGATGCTGCCAACCTCTGTCAACATCCAAACCAGTTTATACCAGGTGTGAAGAACGCAATTGGAAAACTAAAGCATTTGGAATGGATGAAGTGGGTTTTACAAATATCAAAATACAATTTTGCAGTATAATTTAAGGCCCTGTAAGCAAAACCTGTATTCTCCCATCTATTTTTGAGCTATCGCTATCTATTATAGCCTTGATTATTGGATTCAAAGAATGTATAATGAATAGAATCAATTACATAACCAAATAATTTGTTCAAATTAGTACTGATGCGTATCCCTCCAAAAAGAAACTTTAACAGATAAAAGAAGGCTCCTTGACAGAGAAACTTTAAAAAGTAATGGAAAGACGTAAATTTCCACTTATAATAATTTGGTGAAATAACAGTCAGTACAATAGCCGATTTGATCTAAAGTTTTCCCACTCAAATGCCAATTTCTGTCTTCGGATGCCATAAGAAGCGTAATGAACACTTTTAATTTGTAGAAAGCAACCAAACCATGCAAACTAAATAGATTTCTATCCATTACCAATTTTCATTGCTTCACTGAAGTACCCAATTCTACTTCCAAAACTATAACATAACATTCAATCATACAACTTACAGGCAAAACAATATAACCATACCTCATAGGAAAGAACCCTCACCTTTAAGCTTGAAGCTACTTGTCATTTCAATCAACTTCATCAAAATATATACAAAAAAATAAACAAATTCCAATTAATAGAATAACACTAAATATCACTCAAAAAAGACCGAAAAGAAAAATAGAAGCTTTGTGCTCACCCATGTAAAAAGTGATGAGAGCCCAACACCTACTCCAATCCAGAAAAGCGGCAACCCTCTGCAAAATATGAACACAAAAACAACTAAGCAAAGAAATAAATGTTAATAAAATATACACACACCATAAACTATATATATTTGGAATGTCCGTCTAATCAATATTTTCTCTTCACTAACCCAAAACTGCTATAAACTAAAAGTAAACAATTAAAAACTATAATTATTTCACTAAAAATGTTTAGATTATTAAAGTTTGATATCAATTCACATACAACTATTTCATATACAAGAAAAATAATACAGTATTCCATTATACATGAAAACTATGTCTCTGTTTGATAATCGATTTTTGCTCATTACAAAGTTACTAAGAAAAAGGATTAAAAATGGATAAATGACTAAAATGCAACATTAATTCTAATATAGACTACTACTTTCTAATCCTGCGCTGAAGCAATGTTTTTCCCCCTGAAAAGTTAGCTCATTTTATCCCATTTTCAAAAGCAGAAATTAGAAACCAAAGATAACACAAGGAAAACGATGAATTGAATTACATTTGAGAGGAAGGCGGTGGCACAGTTGGATAAGGGTTGACTCCAACCGAAGAAGTTTGTTGATTACTTGAAGAAGAAATGCTAGCAAACCTTTCGTTTCCAGATTTTCTGAAAACTAAACCTTAGGAAGGGAAAACAGGAAACAACAATGAAAGAGGGAAAACGCGAGAAAAGGGGGAGATTTTAGATTTTGAGCGGGAATAAGAGAGACAAAAAATAAGGAGGGAGGGTTTGGCCGGGAAGAGGCGGGAGAAAATGGTTAATTTTGGGGCATGTTTTCAATTTCATTCCTATAAAATTTATATTAATAAACTATTTATAATTAATATTAAAATAATTATATATTATAATTAATATTAATATTAACTTATATTAATATAATCTAGTTTATAATTTATAATTAATATAAAATATAGTCTATCAAATTTAATGTTACTTTTTATTAATTTAAGTTTCATATTTAAAATTTGTTCAATTTGATCCTTATATATTTTCCAATTCTTTCAATTAATATATATGTTTATATTAATAAATTAATATATAGTTTATATATACTATATAGTTTATATATACTAATGAACTATATAATATATAGTTTGTATATACCATATACTATATAGGTTATATATACTAATGAACTATATAATATATAGTTTATATATACTAATGAACTGTATAATATATAGTTTATATATACTAATGAACTATATATAATGTATAGTTTATATATACTAATGAACTATATATAATGTATAGTTTATATATACTAATAAACTATATAATGTATAGTTTAGGGTTTTTATATATAGTTCATATGTAAATTATACTATATAGTATATATAGTTTATATATATAATATATAGTTTATATATATAATATATAGTATATGAATATAAACTATAGTATATATATAGGTCATATGCAAACTATATAGTATATAAATATAAACTATAGTATATATATATATATAGATCATATGTAAACTATATAGTTTATATATATAGTTCATATGTAAATATTAACTATAGTTTATATGTAAACTATAGTTCATATATAAATATCAACCTTAGTATATACATATTTATATATATAGTTCATATGTAAACTATAGTTCACATATATAGTATATAAATATAAACTATAGTTTATATAAATAGTATAAAATATAGTATATAAATATAAATTATAGTATGTAGTTTATATAAATATAAACCCTAAACTCTAACCCCTAAAACATAAACCCTAAACCATATATATATATATATATATAAACTATATAGTTTATATTAATAAATTATATAATTTATACAATATATATTATTTATAATTATACATAATATATAAATATAAATTGTATAATTCATATATAATTTATATATAAACTATGTAGTTTCTATATAGTTCAATAGTTCATATATAAACTATATAGTATTATAGTTTATACATGGTATATATAGTTTATACTTTATACATAAAATATATATAAACTATATAGTTTATATATATAATACATATACTTTATATATAAACTATATAATTTATAATATATATATATATATATTAGTTGTTTTAATTTTTTTTCTCAACTTATTACTTATTTCTATTTATTAATTGGTCCATAACTTTTTTAAATGAGTATAATTTAGTATATTTTTGTATTAATTTCAACCTCAAAATTTAAAATTATTTCGATTTGATCCCTTTTGTTTTGTTTAATATATTTAAATTTTTATTTGTAATTTCATATTTGTTCAATTTAGTCCTCCAAGTTTTATCTGCACCTGAAATTGACCCATACTTATTACTTATTTATATTTTTAAATTGGCCCATAACTTTTTAAATGGGTATAATTTAGTATTTTTTTAATAATTTCAACCTCAAAATTTAAAATTATTTTGATTTGATCCCTTTTGTGTTTTTTAATATATTTAATTTTTTATTTGTAATTTCATATTTGTTCAATTTAGTCCTCCAAATTTTATTTGCATCTGAAATTGACCCATACTTATTACTTATTTCTATTTTTAAATTGACCCATAACTTTTTAAATGGGTATAATTTAGTACTTTTTTGTATTAATTTCAACATCACAATTTAAAATTATTTCGATTTGATCCCTCATCAATGTGTGTTGTTTAATTTATTTAAATTTTTATTTGTAATTTAATATTTGTTCAAATTAGTCCTCCAAATTTTATTTGCATCTGAAATTGATCCATACTTATTACTTAATTCTATTTTTTTAATTGGCCCATAACTTTTTAAATGGGTATAATTTAGTACTTTTTTGTATTAATTTCAACCTCACAATTTAAAATTATTTCGATTTGATCCCTCATCAATGTGTGTTGTTTAATTTATTTAAATTTTTATTTTTAATTTAATATTTGTTCAAATTAGTCCTCCAAATTTTATTTGCATATGAAATTGATCAATACTTATTACTTAATTCTATTTTTTTAATTGGCCCATAACTTTTTAAATGGGTATAATTTAGTACTTTTTTGTATTAATTTCAAACTCACAATTTAAAATTATTTCGATTTGATCCCTCATCAATGTGTGTTGTTTAATTTATTTAATTTTTCTTTTGTAATTTCATATTTGTTCAATTTAATTCTTAAATTTGTATTTTTCATAAAATTGAACCATGATTATTTATATTATTAGTAATTTACTCTAAATCATATACAATTACAAATTGCAATTCAACGTTCACGAAAGACGAAAATAATTAATCCAAAAATAAAAAATAACCCGATTTGAACTCAATCCGTATCTGATAGAGATCCGACCTGAATTTTGTCTGCCAATGATGTGACCCGATCTGAACGAGATCCGCCTGAAGTCCATCCGAACCTGAATTAACCTGCTTTTTAACTGCTTCGGACCTGAATTGTTTTGACCTGAACTGGCAACGATCCGAACTGAAAATGACCTGACCTGAACCCGATCTGGATCTGGTGTCAAATCAACCTGAAAATAACCCGAACTGATTTGATCTGCCCTGAACCCGATCTGGATCTGGTGTCAAATTTACCTGACTTGACCTGTTTCCGACTTTACCCAACCTGCTAGGATCCGACTGAAACCTAAACGATTATCCGATTTTACAACCCTAGCCATGATGAAGCTGTCATTGCTTTCCGGCCAATGGTACAGGAAAATGTAATTACTTTCACAGTTGATCCATAAATATACAAGTACCGCAATAAAGGAAAGAAAAGAAGACTTAAGTCAAATCAGCTACAAAATGGCATTGGCATCTGTAATTGGAGAAAATCCGTGTCATTGTACAATCTATAGATAAGAATTACCTGAAGTGATAATATTCTATCTTCCACTGTGTTTTTAATGGTGATCCGAGTCACAGTAACAGGACGAGTCTGTCCAATTCTATGTGCTCGATCAATTGCCTGGTCTTCAGTAGTTGGGTTCCACCAAAGGTCCAGAAGGATAACATGACATGCGGCAACCATATTCAAACTCAGGTTTCCAGCTTTCAACGCCATGAGCATCACCCTAACCTGCAAGAAAATCAATAACTGTGAACTTAAAAAGTAGGAAACAGAAACGAATCACACCATACATCATTCATTGATTCTAAACTAAAAATTACTCTAAAAATAATAACCGACAAACCTCGGGATCATTATTGAAATCTTTGACATTCCTGTCTCGTGCAGCTAAAGACATTGTCCCATCAAGCCTCCTATAGTTTATACTATGATTACGAAGTGAGTGCTCAACCAAGTCTAACATTCTAGTCCACTGTGAAAACACAATTGCTTTTAATGGTTGGTCAGCTGGTAAGTTTGAATAAACCGTTCTGTGCTTTGCGACACTAACACCTGAATGGCCAGTTTCTGTAAATGTCTGCTCAGAGGAGAATGGAGGTTCACTGCATCCCATGGCATTCTGCGATTCTGAACTTGAACTCTTTAGTAGACATTTTGACTTGAGAATTTCGATGGCAGCCTTGATTTTTGATGAACTGTACTCATCCTGTAACATCACTGAATTTTCAAACAGAGGATGCACAGGACTACCATTATGACCATCTGCAAGACAGATCCTAAGAGTATCTTTAGAGAAGACTATATCAGCATCCAGTTGTTCTTTACATCCACACTCGGGACACGTATTATCATAAGCCGTCAAATGTTCTGACACACACTGGTAGCAGAAAACATGACCACACATGGTAACAACAGGGTCATCAGGTGGATCATGCAAAAAAGGATTAAGCATTAAAATAACCATACAGATGTTTTCAAAATAGTAAAGCTTTTCAGACGGCTAACCATATACTAAAGAGGTTTGTAATTGAAAAATATTTCAAATCTGCAACCTATACCAGTACCAAAGAGGATTAAAGGTAACAGAAGGTTATAACTGAATAGCAAGTAAAAATACGGGCACCAGCTTCAAGAAAGCCAAACCCCTCACTCCAATAATTCGTTACTCTTTCATGATTGAACATATTGAACGCAATCACCTCACCTTCGGTCTTAAAATGTTAAAAACTACCATGACATGAAATTTGCTTATATTCCTCAGAAAAGCCATCATATAAAAATTACGTATATAACTCAATGCTACAGTAACAACATTCAGATGGTGAACAATAGAGCCATATATAAGCAAAATGTTAGGTTACGAAAACTCACTTTGCAAACATGACAGATGGCAGCGGAAGTTTCCAAGCAGTTCGCTAGATTAATCAGCATTTCTCTAGGAAGCCTCTTTGCCATTTCTACAGAAACTTGTCCCACAGAATCAGAGTTCTGAATGGAGTCAAGGTTAAATCCTTTAACAAGAAGAGGATGGTCACAAGCTTGACGAAGGCGCAAAACCATCAAAAGAATATTTGCATAATTTTGGTTCACCGTACCGTTAGCAGCATATTCCTGCAGGAATTATGTGCTAAAAGATGTGTGACTATCACATGATTATATCAGAAAGCATGATTTAATCTCTCCCCATAAGACAATTTTTTACCAGAAAGTTTACGTTACTCTATGTTTACATCATCATGTCAGACTAGCATGAATTATGACCATGCTATTTAAGGTACTGTGTATGATATGTTCTATGTTTACAACATCATGTCAGACTAGCATGAATTATGACCATGGTATTTAAGGTACTGTGTATGATATGTTCGCAAGACACCAGCAGGAATCAACTGCTTGTAGATGGCAGCACAAAGCAATTTTCACCAACATAGAAAAATTAGATTTTCAAATAAATAAAATCCTAGTAAATTTTGTTATCAGGCAATTGCATTCATACAAGCTTAACAATCATTATGACTTCGTACAACAAAAAATTGGCCCAGATTAATAATAACAAGTAAAAAGATGTTTGACAACCCAATTGTTCTACAAGGCTTAAAAAGAAGTATCAACGCGTTAGCTCTCAGTTTTTATCTAGCACTGATAGTAGGTGATCATTAAAATTAGCAAGATTGAGCAGTATAACTTGGCTGCCAACTTATTACAAGATTCCATGTTCACAACTTCACCTGAAGTCTGCCTATTGTAGACACTAATACAACGAATTTGATACATGCTATCAATTCAATATCTCTCCCGCATTTGATACAGTGTTATATCATGTCCGACTCATCACAATATTATGAGAATGTAAGTTCTATTTCATCTTACAACCTTTTTTTTTATAAGAATTTGAGGTCTCGTTATAAACCCCTTCTTAATTGCCGAAAGACCAGTGGAAGGAGGAAAAGAGTAACCCGAGATTTATTGATATGTAATGAAACCCATGGATTTTGAGTAAACGAAATCCCTGAAAACTTCATAACACCCCCCCAACAATCCTCCCCTCCTAACAAAATAACCCAGTGGTCAACCGATTCCTGCTTTGGCTAGGCTATCTGCTTCTACATTAGCACTCCTACAGATAACAAGAAGAATCACTCCTCTCTCCATAACCCTATCAATAATATCCCTAACCATACTGCCGTAAATAGCTGGACATGAAGCTGGATTCTTAATCCAATCAGCACAAATCTTGCTGTCACTTTCTAATATCACACGTCCTTTAAAGCTCCACGCCGATTGTTCAAACATATTTAAACCTTTTTTGACTGCCACTAGCTCCGATAACGCAGGGGGTCCAGGTCCTGAAGCTTCCGAGAAAAACCACAAAACCTACTACAATGGTCACGGAGTAAGCCACCAATGCCACTAGGTTTCCAGTCACCCGTTACCGCTCCGTCAACATTTAGTTTAAAGAGCCCCAAAGGGGGAGGTCTCCAAGGGGAAGATGAATATGCTAAGGATTTCTGAACTGTGCAGGAATCTGCTAAAGGATTGCCAATAAGGGTGTCCAGCTGAATGGGAATTTTGGGGTTCTTCGCCATGAACCACGTCGCTGCTCTGTACCTAGCAAGGAAGAATAATTGAGAAGGGTCAGGAGCTACTTCCTCAAACACAATCTCGTTCCTATGTTTCCAAATGCCCGATTGAGGAACCCGATTTCCCCAATCCATAATGAAAGCTTTAGCGTCTATACGAAAGACCGAAAAAACTCCCCAAAAATTCAAAAATTTGTTCCATAAGTTCCATTCTATTTGGCAAGAGAAGAAAAGATGCGAAGATGTTTCCTGTACTAGCCCGCACAAAGGACATAGCAGATCACCTATTACTTGAACCCCTCTCCTCAACAGCTCAGCAGCCCTCACCGCCAATTTTCCGTAAATGACCTGCCACATAAAAGTCTCTACCCTAGGAGGGACTAGTCCTCGCCAAAGGTGATTCCTCCAGAACTGATCCTCTCCCATCTCTCTCGAAAACACACTAATACATGACTTCACCGAGTACTCACCTTCACCATTCCCTCTCCATATTAGGCAATCATTTGAGGATTTTCCAAAACTGAAATTCTCCAGCAAGGTCATTAACCCTATCCATTGATCCAACTCCCTGTTGATTAGGTTCCTACGCAACACCACTTTCCAAGACCATCTGGATGTATTCAGTGTACCAAAATTTGCGATTTTTCCTCTTTATTTACTGAAAGAGTGAAAAGTCTCGGGAAGCAAAATTTCAGAGCGGTTTCCACCAGCCATGGATCATGCCAGAACCGAATCGACTTCCCATCACCTACTTGAAACTGTAGGTATTTACGAAGGCACTTACCAAAGTCATCAGACTTGTTCACAACCCCCTCCAAATCCAGGAGCCTTTAACACTACTTGCAGAGTGTAGAAAATGTGAGTTATATTATGTTTATAGGTTATTGTCCTGTAAATATTAGTGTTTTACCTTATCACTAACTCTAGCTTTCTTTGTAGATAAGGATAAATTTAACTTAGATAGGACTCTTGGTTACCGCTTGTATAAAACTCCGCTGTACCTATTTGATAATTACTTCCGTGAATACAATTAATTCAATTCTAAAGTAAAATATATTTTCTACATGGTATCAGTTTTGGTTAGATCCAATCTCGCCATATCCCAGCCACGATGGTTCTTCCACCTCTTCCGAGGTTCTTTCTGAGGCTGCGACCTCTATTCCTCACCTAAATCCTGTTTGTTTTGGATTGAGTGTCAAATTAATGAATTAAAGCAAGGGTGATCAAAGTGCTATGCAGTATTTCACTCAGTTGTGGCAACAACTTGATCTCTTTGAATCTCAAGACTGGCGTTGTGGCGAGGATGTCAAGCTCTTCAAGTGATTGATTGAGAAACAGTGTGTGATTCAATTCCTGTCTGGTTTGACGGCTAATCTCGATGAGGTTCGTGGGTGGATTTCGGGTGTTAAACCCCTTCTGTTGCTTCGAGATTTTCTCCGAGGTTCGCGTGAAGAGAGCAGGCATACTCTCCTGCTACTTACTCCGACAGTTGATGGCTCAACTCTGGTTGTGAACACTCGTGGCGATTCTCGCCCTAGGAAGGGAAGACCTTGGTGCGATCATTGCAAAAAGGTTGGGCATGTTCGTTATAAATGCTGGAAACTTCATGGGCGACCAGCAAACTGGAAGTCTTCCAAACAACCATCACAGCGTGAACCTCAGCGGCATTCTGCTACAGTAGATGTTGCAAGCAGTGGTTCATTTAGCAGAAAACAGAGCTAAAGGAACTTTTTGGCCAATTCCATTCTTCTTCTAAACCCAAACACACGTGATGTGCATGATCGTAGCAACTCTTTCGCTCCATTGTCTTCTTCGCTTGATTTTATTTCATGGATTGTTGATTCCGGGACTAGTGATCATATGACGAGATTTCACACTATTTTAGAATTTTCAAAAAGCAATATCTTATTCTAGTGTCCGAACTATTGATGGTTCGACTATTGGTGGCAGTGTCTCTCTTCGAATAAACCCACATTGTTGTACCCTTTATTTTCTTTATGTTCCGAATATGACTTTCAATTTTCTTTCAGTTAGTAATTTGTCTGTGGAATTGTATTGCACTACCCATTTTACCTATGATATTTGTGAATTTCAGGATTTGAGCTCGGGGACGGTGATTGGCAACGCTAGGCTTCGTCCTGGACTATACATTCTTGAGGCTCCTCTACCAATTCAAACCCAAGCAAACTCTAGTATTTTGTCTTGTCTTGTTCGATATATCCCTCACCTACTAATGTTTCTGCTGAAATTGTTTTATGATATTTTATGTTAGGTCATTCTAGTTTTTTTATCTTGCAAACTTGTTTCCCAAGCTCTTCATTAATAAAAATCTTGCATCTTTCTCTTGTGATATTTGTCACCTTGCCAAACGAACCCGCAGTACATATCATCCTTCTCCATATCACTCTTCAAAACCTTTTGCTATTGTACATAATGACATTTGGGGTCCATCTCGCATCAAAAACTTAAACAAGGTTTGTTGTTTTGTTTCCTTTATTGATAACTATTCTCGTACTACATGGACTTTTCTCATACGCAATAAATCTGAGGTGGTGACATTTTTAAGTGATTTCATAAAATGGTTGAGAATCAATTTCAAGGTTATATTAGGATTTTTAAGTCTATTAATGATAATGAATATTTTTCTCTCATTGGGATCTTTCTTTAAGGAAAAATGCATTGTCTTTCTCACTTCTTGTGTCCAATTCACCTCAACAAAATAGAGTCGCTGAGCTTAAAAACCAACATCTTCTTGGGCTTACCGGTCACTCTTTTTTTTTTACTAATGTTCCAAAGTATATTTAGGGTAAGTCTCTCTTAACTGTTACTTATCTCATTAATCTCATACTATTAAAGTTTTCAATTTCAGTATCCACGGGATGCTCTTACTCGATGTTTCTCATTTTAGACCTTTAAATACTAGTGTTCCTTTTTGTGTCTTTGGTTGTACTACTTCTATCCATGATCATACCAACTCTAAGTCTTAGCTTAATCTAAGTGCAATTCGGTGGGTCTTCATTAGGTACTATTCTCTTCAAAAGGGTTATCGGTGTTACTCCCCTTCTATTAAGAAAGTGTTTTCTTTTATGGATGTTACCTTCCTTGGACATAAACATTTTTCTCCAAGTCTGAAATTCGTGGGAATAGTGTGAGTAAGTTTGAATTTTAGTTTTTTTCGGTTAATATTGAACTGACAGTCACCCTATTTCCTTCCAAAACTACTGAAATTAAACTAACATTTGACACCACTGAAACACCTAATCAACCATCTCTTAACACCACCGCCACACCTAATCCTAAAGACCAAATAGACCTACACCAAACCGTTAGCCCGATGGATTCTCCTCAAACACCAAGCCCACCTGCGTCACCAATTATTCCCAAATCGAAAGAGAAAAACTTCATGTGAACAAACAACGGCCACAACGCGTCCCATCAGTCTCCACACAACCTATGTACTACTAAGAACCAGAATCAGGTTTGAATTCCCTAGCAAATGAATAAGGTGATCGGAGTAAGTTGGATGTATTGGTTGATACTAGTGAGTTACCGATTGCCCAGACAACGTACACCTCATCCTATTTATAAGTCTGTTGCTTATGGTAAAATAATGTTTGGCTTTAAGAATTTTACAGCTAAAGTAGACAATATTCGCATTCCAGACATAGTAGAAGTGTTAAAAAGTCCTTAGTGGAAGAAGACGGTAGAAGAAGAGCTTTTAGCTCTTGAAAGTAACAAAACATGGATTATTTTTTATCTTCCTAAAAACAAGAATACAGTTGGTTGCAAATTAGCCTTCACTGGGAAATACCAGGCGAATAACAGCGTTGAACGATACAAGGCTAGACTTGTGGCAAAGGGCTTCACTCAAACTTATAGAATAGACTATCAAGAGATTTTTGCTCCGGTTGCGAAACTCAACATTATAAGGGTGTTACTATCCTTAGCAGTGAATCAGGATTGAGTGCTTCATCAGCTCGATGTCAAGAATGCATTCCTCAGTGGTAATATCGAATACGAGATCTACAAGCAAGTTCCACCAGGAGTACAAATGAAATCTAGAAATCAGTGAGTGTGCAAATTATTGAAGTCTTTATATGTACTAAAACAATCTCCTCGGGCTTGATTTGACAGGTTCACGAAGGTACTTTTGTGAGACGACTATAAGCAGCGCCAATATGATCACACCCTATTTGTAAAGACTGTGTGAAAAAGACAATCTTAACTGTCTACGTTAATGATATTATCATCACGTGTGATGACTTAGTGGAAATAGAGAGATTGAAGGCGTTGCTAGCAAGAGAGTTTGAAACCAAGGATTTGGGAACTTACAATATTTTTTAGCCATGGGTGTTGTAGGATAAGAGATGAAATTGTTATAAAAAAAAGGAAGTATATTATGGAGTTACTATATGAGAGTAGGATGACTCATTGCAAGCCTTGAAAAGCTCCCATGGAAGCAAATTTGAAGTTACAAAAAGAGGGTAGTACCATAAATACGATATATCTATTTCTTGAGGACCATAATCCCTTTATATAGTTGATTGAATCAGTTATTATATGTACTTATAATTCTGTCTCTCATCAAATTATAAATACAACTTTAATAGTATCTACACTTTTATTTCCATGATACTTCAATACCTTATAATTTTATAACATAATTAGTCACTTAATTTATTCATATTTTATGATAACAATATACATTATAAA